AATTCGAGGAATGGGCCATTGCATTTTGGCAGCAGTGAATATTTCAAGCGAGATTTTCGTCTAGAATTGTACAATTTTTGTATTTTGTTATATTACTTTGATATACACTACGAGTCAAAGGTTTGAGATTATTATGTGTTTCATAGTCTAAGAACTTTTAACAATATCAGTTTAGAATATTTTTTAATAATAAATCTGTCGAAACGAAGGAAACTATTATTCGTATCTGCTTTATTTTTACATTAATTTCGAATAAACGAGAGAATTAGAAAATGTTAACTAATTTCAAATTTTTGCTCGATAATGTATGTCACACGGTATGTTTTAATATTTTCCATGATAGATTGAATAATTTATAGAATTTAATTATTCTGACGCATATTTCTTTAGAATTCGTTATGCATTATGTAATACGTTGACTGCTGCCCGATTGTCCTACTATTTCATTAAAAAACAAGTTTGTTTAAACAGACTACAGTTGCATTTAAAAGACTGTATATATTAGTACGTATGATATTAAGGACATTTATTTAATTTAAATACTTTAATCAATTCACGTTGATGGCAGTCAACGTGTCAATCTCGAATGACTCGAATAAAAGACAAAATTTACATTGTTAATAATTTATAACGTGTATAAGGAATAGTTCTACTGTTATACTATCGTTATGCAATAACGAACTATCGTATTAATCGTTAATTGCATTCTAACGAAAGGGTTAAAGTGTGAAATTCGTGGACAATGACAAAAGAAAACTACCCCTTGGCTCTTTAACTAACAGATTTGATACATAAAGCCCTAATCTTTCTCTCAGAAAATTATATGTGTGCAATCCTTTTAGCATTGGACGTTGTATCAATCTTGTCGAATTTCGCTAAATCAATTCACGTTCTCTAGCTTTTCTCGCAACGAATATAAGGAAATTTTACGCCTATATTTTTTACGATAATAGGTATGCTAATAAAGATACGATAATATATCAATAACCAGTTACATTTGGATGTTTATGCATCTACCAAAAAATTTACAGAATGCACCTAATAATCCGCCACGTACAAAATATTCAAATTAATAATAAAAGATATAGAAAAATATGCATTTCTTTAGACGTATTTGCAAGAATGCAGATTTGCGTAAACATCCACGGTTCGCGTATTAATTAATATTAATAAATCCAATCGAGTGAAGCGACATTACCACAGAGTAATGACGTTACGAACAGCCTTTCCAATTTATCACGCTTTCTTTGAAAACATTTAACAGGCGCGCTCCTTCGCAAAAATCAATCGCGCGTAACACAGCGAACGAAACTGCATTTCCGTCTGTCTGTCCGTCTAATCTGTCGAAATAGTAAGGGAAGAAAGTGCAAAAACACAGACAGAAAGAAGAGAAAAAGAAAATATAGATTAGGAAGCGTGAACCGATTCTGAAGCGAATCGAAACGGAGCCAGGGGAATGTTTAATCGATTCGCGCGACGATTTTAGCCGGTAGGGTTAAACGTGCGCCACTAATTTAGACTGCAGCTGGTCTGTTTTGACTGCGGCAGAACGGGAAAACAAAAGGGGCACTGTTGTAGCTCGCCGTGCATTGTGAACGTCGACCTAAATACTACGATTTTCCCCTCGGTAACGAGCCGAGCTTAGTCCGTTCGTATTTCATTGTCACGAAAGTTGTTGGGTGGTCTGTTCTATTCCTATATTCTGTCCACGTCAAACGTGGCTGCTTGCCGAAGTTGTGAAAATTCTCTCCGCTGGTACGATCTACGCGGAAGAATCGCAGAAGACTTATTTTAATTGGCTGATCATGATGCTGGTCGATCGTTGAATGACGATTTATTAACAGTCTCGCTGCTATTGACGCGTACGTTGTGTTACTTCGTCCCGTAATTGGTAAGATGGGCTCTGTGAAACCCTAGGAATCGTTATTTTTAACGTCGTATCGTTAACCAACGTATAACTTAATAATTATCGGTCTACGGTATCGTCGTATAGGCCACAGGACGCTTGGAACAGGTACAGGCGAATGTTGGAATTACAAAGTTAAATCGATATTAAATTGTCATCTCTGCGTATACTTTTGGGAAAATTGAATTACACGTGTTACGTTTTGGAGATTTTATTACAAACCTATTTTATCGACGCGTATGTGTAGGACAAAGAGGAGTCGCGTAACTTATGGACGGAAGTGCATATATATACAATTCATACCTAAGCTTTGCAAATTTCTGGTCATTTCTGCTAAAATGATCGCTACGCCAGTTATGGATTAATCTTAATATTACATTTCTTCTTTTATGTATTTTGATAAAGTAACTGCGAAACAAACATTGGATATCCTAATAGAGCAAATATCATTAATATATAATAAAGAAATTTTTAATGGGAAAGAAGAAGGGTAAAATTGTATATGCGGTGATCACACGTCGTTAATAGCAGTGAATATATTAACTGGTTTGTGCTGAATGAATTGAAGATTTTTTCTCGGATTTTTTTTTTTTCAATATTAAAGAAGGTTGTTTAAGTTTAATGAAAACTGTGAGTTTGGTAGAATTGAATTGATTTAGAGGTAGATACATCTGCATTTTTGTGATCATTGGGACATTTATGGACAATTGAGAAGTTATTGAAACGTATTAAGACTAAATTATTATATTTCAATTCTCAGAGTATAAAGTATTTATATATTTAATACCGAGGTAAAAGTTTCGTTAATTATGTACAACAACATTGAACGTTCTTCTCTTGTCTATATTCGTCAGGATACTCGATTCTCTATTTTAATCAATTCTATCATTCGTATTATTAGGTTTGTCACTGTATTTGTGGATAGACTTCTCAAAATATACTATTTTATTCGTCTCGAGATCCTCTACGATTTACATCGCATTACAGTGAGATTGACGCATATTTTTACAAAATTTGTATACGTTTTTCACCATTGTTCTGTACGAATAGAAAATTCTGACCGATTAATAAGTAAACGTTCCCATATACATAAATGTCCTATGAACAGCAGTGTACATATAATAGCAATTAGATTTCTTGCGTTTATTAAGTATTATTACAGATAGCTTCTGATTTCTATAATTATGACGATAAGCTCTATACGGGTGATGATGAACAAGTTTGTAAAGTATGTTTGTACGAAGTTGGAGGATCGAATCACAACTTTGTCAAGTAAAAGTGTTTGGCAATAGACAGCGTTTCGAACCAACGTGATTACAGGAACGATCGTGTAATTTGCAATGACTTCTTTAATTGCTGCTCGCTATTTTCTGAGTCTATGTAACTCGTACGAGTAACTTCTCATTAGAAGGATGTATCAAGTGATTACTTTATAAGTAATAAAAAGATTTCTGATTCTCGAATCTGTGCTTTTCTCTGTTTTCCTCAACCTTAAACCAATGCAGTGCACCACGATGTTATACTATGTTACACTTTGACTACGATACTGTGAATAATATTTATTCCACGTGCGTTACAATTGACACCTTCTATTTGCCTGACGAAGAGCAACACATTTCACTTTTTCAAGCAAAGAATGTTTTCTTATGGCGTGCTAACTGCCGGTTAATCTGCTACACACGATCGGTTTTATTACCCGTACCGAAACACCCTGTATATTTTCAGATTGATTTCAACTTTTATCCGTACAATTACGATAATTGTATCTACTTACAGCGTCAATGAAATTGCAAACTGTATCATGTAACACGTAATATATGTATTAAGTTGTCCGGAAAGTGTCTTTCTTTCGCAAACGTGTTCTTTACAACAATGCACCTTTATACAAACGTGAAACCAAGTCTGTGAAATGTATTTATCTCAGCCGAACAAAATGGATCGTACGTAATTCGACAAAATAATATAAAACAAAAAACATTGTGCGTCTATTATTTCCTCATAAAACGAAAGAAACTTTTCGGACAACCCAATATATTCGTACAAATTTTTCATAACCGATATTTCACACGAATACTCTTATGTATCGCTTTATGCATGTCGAATAAAGTTTATCGAATATTTTATTATCTTGAATCATTTGCTATTTAAAATACCGGATATTTATTCCTTACCGTAGAAATTCAGTTATTTAATTTCATTAATTCCCGTTCATTAGTTAACAGCTCTGGCGATTACCCAATCCCACTTCGAATTGAAAGTAGATAAGGACCAAGTTTCGGAAGAGTCAATTGCTTGAAATGGATACGGATCCTCTGGTCAGAGAGATTGCATGTTCCTACGACTTTCCTATGAGAGCTTCCTAGGAGAGTTTCCAAACTACTTTTCAATATTAAGTTCGCGTCGTAACTTTGATTTGACCTATCCGACTTCAAGGAAAATTTACAGGCGAACTTCCTCAACTACCATCGAATTATCAATACGGTTCTCGTAAAATCTCGTTCAATTTCCTGCGCGCTTTAAGATTTTGGCGAGAACGTAATCTTTTGTTGCAGAACGGTTTCAAAGTTTGCAAATGTCCTGGATCAATGCTGTTTTACCAAAGCTGCGATTTTAAGCGCATTTGAAATTGTATAGCTCTTTATGTTTTTGTCAGTTTCCTCTTCTGTTCGCGATTATTCTTCCAGTTAATTATTTCTTTCTTAGTTTAGTCTGAGATTACCATTTAACATTTCGAAAATGGTTCTTCACATTTCCTTATCTTTCTTCGTTTTGTGAAGTATATCCTTTGTCAGGATAGAAATCAATACAGGTAAATATATTTACGTCTTTACACAGATTTCCATAGGTCGTTACGCATTTAAGATTTTGCGTAACGAACAGCAAGGATTGTTCAATTATTTCGAAGAAAAATATTCTCAAACTTATGATATATACCTCGGAATAAAGTTTAAATTTGTTATCCGCGGCCTTTCTGCTGTACGAATTAAATGCAACAAGTTGTATCCGCCGAAACAAGAACCCTCCCTAATTAACCTTCGTTTGTACTCCTTTGTGCTCATCTTGTTAGGAAACTTTCGTTTTTTATGTATTTAACGGGAAGAGTTTCGCTTCGCTTTCATCGTCTTCCTATTATATCAGGAAGCAAAAGTTTTAAGTTGCATAAGACAAGCCTGTTGCCTAGTTAATCGATAATAAGTAAACCTTTGGAGAAATTAATATAAGTTAGTTTAATTTAATTCATTTTCTTACGCGTGGGTAGTGGTTAAGAACGCTGTATTTTTCTGAAAATGAGGAAACTCTGGCGAATAAAACCATTGTACATTGTAAATTCGAGGGCTTTAAATCAAGTGTAGGTGAGTTTAAAAGGCTAACTAAATGTACTCGCTACATACGAAACATGCGAAACATACGTAAACATTCCACAACATAAATTGCGAGCAGAAACAACTCGAGTACTTTTATCAACTTGCAGCATTTTGCAATTGAATTTTCAAAAACATCCTTCGTATTTATTTCTGTTATTTCGTATCTTTAATTTCTTCATTACAATCCTCGTCTGGAATGTTTCAAATGGGGATAATAATAATAATAATAATACCACTGTGTATATAATGGTAATATTTCGCCGTGTATATTAATTAAGTTCAATAGTTAAAAGGAATACAGAACAATAAATAACATTTAGTTATTACACAATTATAATATGCAGATCACTATGCATAATGTATAAATGTACTACCACACTGTTTGTAATTCAAACAGAACTAAGCCACAGGAACTAGATCAATTTTAGATGAAAGGCAACTCCTCGTCGTAACCAGTTACCATGTTCTTCTCTGGGACATCCAACCGGAAGCGAGGAAATTAATACGTCCCTTTGAGAATTCGCATAAACTGGAACATTAAGAATATCTTCCACGTCGCTGCTTCCTGAACGACCGCCCACTGTTTTGTTTCTCGCCTTATCCCCGGTGTAATTTTCTGGTAAGAACGCAATTTGACAACTCGGTGCAGTAGCAACGGAAGCCGCGTTCGCGTCCACATCCTTCAGGTTACCATCTTCTATCAAAGCTCCTAAATATAAAATACTTCGTATCATTTGCTAAGGCAATTTTACGAAAGAAGAAAAATTCGTGTCACTTTGATTCCCTTTTTGATATTTTCTACTTTCTACTATCAATTTGTACTTCGCATTACGTTTTCTATTAGAATCATAGTTTTTCCATTCTTATATTAAAAGTATACATTATACGACACGTAATTTCATATAAATTAATCCAGGAGTCTATCTAAGAAGTTTTGAAATTTGAAATTCTGACATTTTTTTTTCAAGCAGTGAAAGACACTTTAGAAAATTCTTCGTATTGTTAGTTAATGGTGTTAACTAATGATCATTAGACGAATAAAATTACCAGATATCAATAGTCCTTCGATGACTAACGATATCTTCCAGTCGTCGTTCCGTCGATTTTCAAACCAGTTGACGCAAAGTCGAAGATTCTCCATAGGTTGACGCGTTTCTCGCGCGGTGTGCTGTTTGAGAACAGTCAGAAACGCTCGTGGTCTTGCCAATCGCGATATATCGACAACAGACCAGGAGATGGTCAAAATGGAATTTAAAGTTTGATAATTGCTCAACAACCCTTTAACGAAAGGCAAAGCTTCCTTTGGGCCATATTTCCAGTTTTCCATCCAGTGTATGGGAGTCTAGAAATTAATCAGACAAATGTTCGTAATTGTATGAATCTTTCGAATCTTCTAAATGCAAGATAAAAATCGAAAATAATAGCAAAGTAATAAAAGATCTAATGGCTCAACAATATTGATAGATATTCGTAGTTAGTTTCGTAAGATTAATTTGAAATTTGAAGAAATTTGTTTGAACCTTAGTATCCTCGAGGCGCAGGTTTTCCACGTCAACGCGAATAACATTCAACGTCTTCTTGGTCAGATTTATTTCATCGATAAAGAAATTTTCCAATGGATTCTTATTTTCGTTGTGTTCGCTGGTCGTTGACGATCCAAAGATCGAGATGTGGCGGTCGATTAGTTCCTTCAAATCCCTCTGAATTTTTGTTTCCGTCTTTTTGCTGCTCTTGTCGTTACTGACGGACGCTTTGATTAAAATTCCTGCCGACAATTAACAAACTTATAGTCAGTTCGTAAATTACATTTCTATAGAAAAGGATGAGAGATTTCAGTTACGGAATGATTGTTCTTGTTGGCCCTGTATTGTATTCTCAAAAAAAGAACAAAAATTCCAACAAAACAAATTGTCTTCGTTTCTTAGTCATCCCAGTTGTATTAGGTTGTCCAAAAAGCTTCTTCTGTTTTATAAGGAAATAATAGACGCACAATGTTTTTTGTTTCATATTAGTTTATTGAATTATGCACGAATCATCATACCTAATTCAATAAAATAATGTAAAACAGAAATTCTTGTTCATCTATTATTACCCTATGAAATGAAAGCAACTTTTCAGACAACCTAATATCACTTCCTACTCCCCATCGAAAGTATCATGAGCTCTAATAACTAGACTGCGGATATTCGCGCAAATTCATATCTTCGCGAATGCAATTTAATGTAGAACATAGAAACTTAACAAACGACTGTCTTACTTACTAAATAATATACTTAATGACTAAATTCCGGGTTTATTTATATATTTTATCACGTAATATACATTCCGTGCAGTTCCGCATCCTCGACTCTCCCATAGACACATAAGAACCCGCAGTCTACTACTAATATTTGCTGATAAAAACTAAACCTTTCAAATGCGTTAGCGCAGCCTCGGCAGCAGTCCTCTCCCAAGCTCTATGCGCGTTCGCAGGCAATCCAAAGCATTCTTTAGGCGAATCATTTTCCGGAACATGTTCCAACGCCTTAGCTGCCTCCTCGAACGAGCCATGAACCACCCTGAGAACGTCAGCCAGCTTTCTACGACCGTCGAACACCTCAGAAGTCCAAACGTCGTCAATGATCGAGCACAACGCTCTCATGTCGTAGTCGTCCTGAAGGCGACCACCGTAAATCGCTACGTCCAACAATCCTCTGCCAGTTTGCCAGTTTCCATTCTTATCTTTACTCCTCGTCGACTCTATTTCTCTCACTACTAATTCATATGCTGCTTCGAGATCCGATTCGTTCCATTCGTACGACCGGATCCAACCTTGAGGCACGAATTTTCGTCGTTCTTGAAGCGTTGCGTGCAGCCACGACAACAACAGGCTGCCAGGAACGTTCACGTTCTTGTGCTTTTGACAAAGCTGTTGCAGCGATCGTTTTACGTTCCTCTTAACACCTTCCGGTGGCTCGTAAGCGAGTTTTAAACAGAGAGCCGCGAGACTAGGGTAGAATCCCAGGCATTGTTCGGTGGTTAACCAAATCCTTGTAGCGGGATTTTTGTTGCTGGTGCACATGGGTGATCTGAGAAGGCTCTCCAGTCTGGGAAGCCAGTTGAGAGCCAGATGCAAATTGCTGAGCAGTATCCAGCCTCCGTTCCTGTTTCATCGACAGATCGGTTGGCTTAATCTTTCGTTAATTGAACTTTTCTATAATGACGTTTGATTACTGGGTGAAATTATATCGTTAAACTACGTGGTGTACGTATTCGTTGCGAGATTTCTTAACTTTCGGTTACGCGTCTAAAATTTACTAATCGGCATGAAAGTATGCAGGAAGAGTTGAAGATCGAGGACTTTCTTTTTCATTGAAAGGTTGACACTTTTTTAAAATTATCGCTGAAGCTTATTATACAGCACAAAGATGGACAGGATAAGGTGTTTATTTGGAAGCAAGAATAGGAAATTTCGCACGCTATATTCAGAGAGGGGAGCAGTAAATAACACGAAGGTTGATAATTTAATCGCAATGTATACGCTACGCACGTAAACAATATCGAATTACGTGATGGAGGTACGTAAACAAAGTCCATAGCTGATTTAGTACGCCATCGTGAAGACTATGGCCTCAAGCCAAAACATTGCAGCTTTCCTACGGTAGGTTGGCGAAGATAACGAGGCTGCCCAAAGACATTGTTTAACATATGTGAACGGAAGTTAGATCCGAAAGTTGAGAATCCCGAGTCGCTGAAGCATCGTATTATGGATTTATCGTTTATTAATGAAGTGAATCATTGAAATAATCTAAGACTGTATCAGCCATTCTGTTTTCTTCAACAGGATACATCTGTTTTATCGTGTGACAAACGTTTTGATTTCGAAAGGTATTTGAAGTAACGTCTGTTATTAAATATCGAACGTTAATATCGAATTTTTTATTCAATATAACCAGAATGCGGATAAAACTTTCCTCTGAAACACGTTCCAAACGACATTTATCGTTTTAAATATTAAATATGAACCTTGACTTCTTTCACGTAACAAGAGACATAATTAAACTTACAAAATTTTTGCTTCTGAACGCTTCGTAAGAAGCTACCCTTTAAATATCAGATATAGCTAAATAAGTAACAATTAAGAAAACAAAATTTCTTTTTGGAATAATTTTCGAATGACACTTCTTCAAATACTCGATATAAAATTGTATCATTTGATATGCAGAAAGTATGATGTTTCGAGGACAAAATATCTTTTTGTTTTATCATGATGACATAAATTCATAAAATCTACGAAGCTGGAAATTTATATTTCATAGAGTTAAGAAAGGCGCATTACCGACAAGCACTCTCCAGTGCGAGTTCAGCCTGAGCAACTTGACCCTGTCCAAGAGATACTTCGACGAATCCTGTGGCTGAAGCAACGTGATTATTCGCTAATGCTGCCAGCTCTGAACCGGGATCAGCTCCCGGTGATAGAAGCAGCAACACAGGATATGTACTTTCGTTTTCAGCTACTTTCCTCAAGGACCAGTGCGGTGGTGCTAAATTTTTCACACCTTCCCGAACGAAAATTATATGGATAATCAGAAGGTATGCAAAAATATATATGTATATCTGTAAACTCTTAAACGCATGATTATTCGAAATATAAAAACGCATTGAGTGTGAAATTGTCAAAAAATTGTAGAAAAATAATCTTAAAAAATCTAACTCACTTGGTATATTTTTACTTTAAAAAAAGATATATATAGAAGATATAAGAAAATGAAATAGTTCAATAATATATCATAATAATCCAATGGCTTATTTGTACATTTACCCCGATACTTTATATGTTAGTAGCATAATATTAAACGTATTCGCGATATGATGAAATAAGAATGCATTGGCAAATGGCAACACTAAGTCTTAATACTAAGTAGGTAATCGACTTCTTGTCATTAATACTTTTACGATTAAATTACTATTTTGAATAAATTATAATTTTTTAAATTTTCCTCTTTCTAAGGAAAGAAAGATTTTGAAATAATTATATCCCTTCCGGTTTTATCACAAGGTTGTTGTGAAATTTCCATATAATAATTATTAATAAGATTTTAATTAAACTACACGTATAATTATCGATGAAACAATATAATTGTTATTAATAATAGAAAAATAAAAAATTACCTAATGCTTCCGCAGCCAATTTCGAGAGCGCCGTATGCAAGTAATCAGGTCGAAGGGTTTTTATCAATAAAACTTTTTGGAACGTGGTTAAATTGCTTTCAGCGTAAATATTGCTAACGTCGCTCAACCAGGATTGTTTCATTTTTGCGGCTATCTGAATGACAGGAAATGACCGTTCGTAGTAATAGAAAATTATATCACTATAATTTAAAAACAAGTTCGTTAAGTCAACTTACTTGAGGAAATGAAGAAACTAAAGTTCGAACTGATAGACGTCGTTCCTCGGGTACCCAATCGGGTATTTTGTAATCGGAATCTTCGTCGTCATTTAATAGAATTTCTCCTAATAAGAAATTTCTTTCAACGTCTGGCACGGAATTCAATGAAAGTGCCAATTGTAATGCTACTGGCAATCGATGTTCTCTATACACGGCCTTCGAGCAATAATGAAGAGTCAAAGCAATTAACCTGTAATGGATGTTCGTTATATATTATTTTAACATGTAATTGTAAATTTGGAAACTTCAATGTAAAATCATATCGCGTATAACATACATATAGTAACATTAACGTGTAAATGTATACTATATCATGTACAGTAAAAATTCACTACATATATACAATTCGAGTGTATTAAATCTAGATTCTATCAAAAAATTATATTCCAATTTTTGCGCTGAAAATACACTTTGAGAAATTCTATAGTGTACCGTAAAATTATATCATACATATGGTACATACGTATGTGTACTTCACAGTAGACTTTTATGCCATGTGATATTAATAAATAATTGGACATTGGAAACGATCCATTAACGAAATAAACAACATGTAACGAGTAGTTTTTTTTTCGAGCATTTACTAACCGTCTTTCGATCAGCTTGTCTTGCTCCCTTTTATCTTGAGATAGTATCGATTTGCGGTAATCTTCCGCCTCCAAATAAATATCAGTGAAAGCTTCGGCAGAAAACACGTACAGTGGACTCAAGGCGGTAAGACCTTTTACAGTTTTATACAAGTTGGCAGCGAATTTAGCCAATTTCTCGTGCTCTTTGGCTCTTCTGTAAACAGTATATAAAAACAGAAACTAGGACAAAAAATGAAAACTTCGTTATGAATACTCTGTCGTGGAACTTTTTTTTCGAGTCAGAAAGAGAGGCGACTGAGAACGTTCATGTAAAGGAGTTACTCAATGAATCTCAAGGTTTCGTGAATTTAAAAAGTTTCACATGAAATATATACAGAAAATATTCCGCAGCGAAATCGCGAAACTTTGCCAGCATGGTCGGGAAACTATTTCAAGCAAAAAAATATTACATAAACCATGAGTAAATTTCAAGGAAGTTCGTTTTGAAAGTCTGAGAAGTTTGTTGGTAGAAGCGACAAGTATTACGCTATATGATTTACATTTAATACCCTTTTAATTTATTGTATGCAAATTAGCTTCGTGCTATATATATATATATCAAATTCATATCACTTTTGTTCATCTTCATAAGTAATCATAATACTTTGACGAGGTTAAATTCTTGTCAAATTAATTTTCATTCCCACTCTGTGTGCATATAATAAAATAATAATATAAAATAATTTTATATAAGGGTGGTTGGTAACTGGTGGTATAAGCGGAAAGGGGGTGATTCTACGAGAAAAAAGAAGTCGAAAATATAGAATAACAATTTTTCGTTTGATGCTTTGTTTTCGAGAAAATCGATTTTGAATTTTCGCTCGGTACGCGTGCGGTACGTTATAAAGGATCTCGCTGTAGATCGTTGTCTCGATGGAAAAATTAAAAAAAAAAAATTTTTATTTTATATTTTCGACTTCTTTTTTCGCGTAGAATCATCCCCTTTCCGCTTGTACCGCCAGTTACCAACCACCCTATATAATAAAATGACTTTTGATACGTATAAACGTAAAATAACTTAATTCAAATTGCTTGCTCATCGTACGATCTAACGATACAAGTTGAAGGTTCATGTTATTTCACCAGATAAGGTTTTTAATCATTTTCTTTTTCTTGTTTGCTTTGATTCATCAGACTGAACTTCATCGTGAGCAAAGATAATTGTACAATTCAATTTACTACAAGTAACAAAGTTCATAAAGGAAGAATAACAAATGTGCACATCTTAATTTCAAAATTGAAAAACCTATAATTAAAGAAAAACGTTACTCTATAAAACATACACAGGGGCACCCGAAAAGCGTGTGAGACAATGTTTATTGGTTATTGAACATTAATAGACGATTTTACCGAGGAGTATTCTGCGTTAGATTTACTAACGAGGGTATTCAGAATGAACGGAAGGTTAAGCATGGAGCACGTGTATACACGTGTAATCCATATATATGTATATGGTTGGACATGTTAATCTGTTGATCACTTTCAGGATTTACAGGAGAGGCATAATTAATTCCGATAATACCGCTGCTTCGCGTGAGAATATATGTTTGTATTATCTACGAAGAACAGAAATACCATGGAATATAGTTTCATATTTTTGCAAGTGCTAATTTTATTATTCACAGAGAGAATACAAGGTTGTAGAACTTTTTTCAGAAAATTCTCATCGTTTTTTACCTTTTATTTCAGGTTGAAGAAAGGAAGCTACGAGTTGTAACAAGGTCAATCGAATAGAATTTTTAATTTCACTTGCAGTTTCAGACCATTTTGTTACAATCTCTGTGTTACTTCACAGAACAACGTAACTTGTGAAAAATGACAACGTGAGATCGCGCTCGCGCTACTTTAAATAGATTGTTGAACTCAACGTGTCATGGTAAATCATAAAATTGATCAATTTCACCATAGAACACCCTATACGTTCTTAACAAATAATTCTCAATAAACTGCGACAGACCTGGTGACGTCTTCGAAGCTTCGTCGACTTTCCTCAAGAGCCAGAGCTATTTCTTTGGCTTTCGATTGAGTGGCTTCCAACGACGACAGAAGTCCGCCCTGGGATCCTTCAGACTCTTGAAGAAGATCCTGACCTCTGGCAGTGGCCAGCTGCGCCAACAGATCTAATCTCGCGGTGTCCCGTTCCCCTGATAATTTTTCTTCGCGTTCCAGCGCTTCCTTCCGCTGCGTCGCCAGTTCCGGAGTCTCCTTCAACAGAACCTAACCAACGTGGCTAAGGTAATTAATCTTTTGCGCCAATATTTTACGTTCCACGAATTTTCAACGACCATCGAACAAGTTTTCCAATTTCGTTGTGGAGCCACTCGAAGCGAGTTATCGTCTGAACAAAATTTTTTCAATTTTACGGATGGATGAAAGAGAGCAGATATTCTCTTTGACGAGAGCGAACAGAATAGAGATGCCGCTTTCTGAGCAACGTAGTCATAGAAAATATACTTCGTAATTGGAATAATTTTTTAATTCCGCAGTTACGATAATACGATGCCATATCGAATCTTCGAACTCGTAACGTTAAATTAAACGGAATGTCATATTGGAAAACGATCGAATATAAATCAGTGTATCGTCATCTTCCTCACCTTTTCAACGAACCTCTCCGCCAGACTTTTGGTACCAGCTCCAAGAGCAATCTTAAACAAGACCGCGTCGACTTCTTTTGGAAAACCATCCAATTTATCTCGTCTGGTAGCCAGGAAAAGCTTGAAGCCTTGAGGTGCTGGTAATGTTCTTTCACCAAGCTTCAGAGGACGTCTACGTAACAGTGGCAAGAGGATCGATGGAAATTCGACGAGTTCTTCCACCAGTAATGGTTTGCCAAATCTTACAGCCAATTCTAGCGTAGTCAAAAACTTAGCATCTTCTGGTTTCGTTATCTCCATTCTTGAACCAACGTTGTTTTTCAGCCACGAAACCGCGACACCGGATGGATCTATGAATATGGGAACCAAAGGACCTCTGAGGGCACAGGATGCACCAACCAGACTTCCGGTGTCCACGGGTAAACCTTGAGCTCGCCACAGTAGCCTTTCTCTTTCGGTGATTAGGAGATCGATGGCTGATTTCTTCCACTTGTCATCTTTTCCAGGATTCTGTACTCAAATATATTTTGTTAAGTTCGATAGGGTTTAACGTTGATTCTTACTCTAACTCTGGAAATTGGTATTTGGTTATGCCGATTATTTTTACTATTATTTTTACAAAAGTTGGAAAAGGAGATATTGTTATATTTGGTTCGAATTTTGGAATTTTTAACTATTTAACCAACCTTTTGGTATTACAGATATCATTTGAATTTTGAATTCTATTCGTCCTGATTGTTTAATCGATTTTATGTTAACAGAAATATTATTCGCTTCGATGCCTAAAATTTCTAATTATTTGGCCAACGTCTAATTATTCAGAAACTGAAAATTAGCTTCAAGTACTTGCAACTGCTAAAAATTCCTAGATTATTCTTAAGTACCGCTTTTCTTCTGTAAGGTCGCGAGACAAATCATTGCGCTTACTTCATAAACAAGTAAGGATGCGACATTAGCAGCCTCGACGTCCAATTTCTCTTTCCTGCCGGTTAATTCTTCTAATTGTGCTTGCCAATCACGATGTTCCGTGTCCAATTTTTGAAGCAGCGCCCTAGCTGTTGCTAGTCTTGCCTCTGTTGTCTCGGCACGTAGTTGAAGCGCAGCGGCACCCCTTGAACGTTCCGCGAGTTCCTCTTGAAGCTGTGCTACACGACTTTCCACAGTGTTAAGTCCAGCTGCTAGCTTGCCAATCTGAGCCTCAGCCGCTGACAAACGTCTGAAATGAATTATGAACAATTTATATAATAACCACATCGCCGTAAATTCCAGTAAATTTTTATTCATAAAATCATCGATGCTAATCAGAATATTTCTTTATCTGTTATTAAAACTTTTACAGAATCTTATTGCTATGAAAAGAATGTTATCTCTTAATTTTTACTCAACTTAAAGATTTTATTAACAAATGAGATTGATTTTCATAAAATTGTATTGCCATGAAAGCATCAGTTTTCAAAATAAAATAAAAATAAAATTCTATACGTGGGACTTTCAAGAATAAAAAGCATAATGCTCGGTTGTATTTTATACTGTTTTTCACTGTATAGTTTTCTCATATTATAATATTTTAATGTTCTATATAATATTTTTTAATCTCTGACTGCTGTGTGTACTGTATCGCCAAAGTGTTTCAGTGCGAATGTTGTTATATTTTATACTTATCGTTCCCTGTGTTTTAGTATAATGGCTCGGATATAAAATGAATACGTGGAAATATAAACCCACTGGGTCAATTGTCGTTGTTCCCTCTCGAGAGGCGCGACTTGCTGAAGAATCTGACCATATTGGAGGTTGGCGAGTACCCAGGCAGCCAAAGGTGCTGCAGCCACCGAGGCTCGTTTTGCGGTTTTCTCCTCGAAACTTTCCGGCCGCTCCTTGACCAACTTGGCAACCGCCTCCAGACTCGATGGTGTGCTTCTTCTCGCGTCCCACGTTCTAAATCGAACAAAGACGTTATCACGTTTTTCAAACTCGCCCGAATGGTCTCTGATGAAACAGACGATGAGAGGGGAATCTTGTTCGCGAATTGTCTGATCAATTTTGACTGTTAGTTTACATGGGTACTTTGTTTATAAGTATGAACAGAAATATCGTTCGTCGTGTTGGCGGTGTGAACGCACCTGTTACGAGTTAGACGATAAAGAAGGAGCAAATGTTTTAGTATGTACGTTACGAATCGATGACTGTTTATGAGATAAGATCAGGTGTTTGCTCAAATATACAGTGACGAGCAAATAAATAGTCTTTGTACCAGATTCAACTTAATTTCGTTTACAAATGAAGTATTAATATTTAAAATAAAAATGTACAAGTTGTTCCATATCCACAGTGTTTCAAAATACAAGAAACCTATCTTTAAATTCTACATTGCATGAAAAAAAGTGCTGCATTCAGTAGCGTTAAATTTCATGTCGCCACATAAAGTGCATTTTTCAACAATAAATGGAAGACGACGTGAATCGAGTTATGTCCTGTAACTTTACGAGCAAGCTGTGTAATCTATCGATTTAAATTTTTGCGATTTTACCAAGCAACATTTTTATCGTCAAGACAAATGAAATAAAGTCTGACGAAAATTAGTAATTGTTAAAGAGCTTACCTTATTTCGTCCTTGATACCACGTTTTGCTAAGAAAGTCTTCATACTATTCCAAGAAGTGTCTTTTATGCCCATTAATCGAAGGACACCCTCGAGGACGTCTCTTACAGGTGCTGGAGGTGCTCTTAAAGAACGAACTTCCGCCAATGCATCAGCGCTGATACCAGCTACTGCTTGTGCCGCTTGTTCTACTAATGGCTCGACTTTTCCTAATTCGCCTTCGATATTGGTCTGTATATCAAATTCAATTTATTTATTTTTTTTAACTTAGAAAATTATATACCTACACGCTTCCAAGAACAATAGATTTAAATAGAAGAAATTTTTTACTTGTACATTAAGAAGAGAAAAGGATATCCTTTGTTATTTTCATGGTATTTTTTATAGTGTCTAATTTTTTAACAATTTGGCAATGAATCGTGTGAATTGTGTATAACAAAAATGTATTTACTTTAGTATCTGTGCAATATTAATGAAATAGACTGAAGCAAATTAAATTTGTAAACGCTTCGGTTTAGTGAAGATTTTAAAAAACAAAACGCTTAGTATAAATGAAAAAATGACGTGCTGTGTGTAAGCATTTCTTGACAATTGTATTTACCTTCCTGCGAGCTAATTCTGCACTTTCTCGTTCAGTTTCAGCCTTCAAGTTGGCCATTTCTCCTCTTTGACCTGTGGCACCTCTCATCGTCGCCGTGATTTGTTCGAGAGCTGCATTGGCACGCCCTTGTTCCGCCTAAGAAATTAAGAATTATCGTAATTAGCGTGAGAAAACATAATGTATTCCTATTAATTAACTAAAGATTAATATGCCAACGTCGCTTATATCCACAAAGTAATATCGTATTGCAGTAAACTCGATAGAAACTAACGAACAGGACGTAATACAATTTCGTTGCAACGTGCGAAAGCGTAATGCACCTCTTTATGTATTTAACCAAAAATCGTTAATAATTATCTCGGTATCGTTTATACCCTCAAGTAGTGAACTCGATGGAAATTAGCAAGGTTAATGTATACCTCCAGTTCCTGACGCTGTTTCGAAACTTCGTCCTCCAGTTTAGCCACTTGCGCCCCGGCTTCCTTCAACTTTCCTACACCAGCTTCGAGACTGTTTAATTTCTGCTCCACTTCCTCGCTCCAAGTTGCGTGTAAATGCTTCCAGGTGTGCAGTAAAGCAAAGAACCGAGCCGGAGCTTGCTGCTGTCGCGGAGCTTCAAGATGAGCCTTTACCACCTCTTTGATACCAGGCAACGTCTCCTCCGGATCTTCGGCTTCGATACCGTTTTGTTGATAAGCTATTTCGGTTAAAGCACCTTCCCAGGACCACCATTCGCTACCAACTCCAGGACCAATCAATGCGCAATGTCTAAGGAGACCCGAATGCGACAACCAAGGCGAACGAAGCTCTCCACTGTCCAAGATTATGGTTACTCGAAGATAATTTCGCAAACCTACAAAATTGTATAGTTACAGAAATATATGGTGAGGCTAGTTGAATTTTGTATCGAGTTCAGAGTGTTTGGAATGAAACGGTAGGCGTTAAGATTGTACAGATGAGAACAGAGTTACGATCGAAGACAAAACTATCTGTACAGTTGGAGCGTAGAAACAAAGGAGTAACGTATTGTATATTATTAAATATATTTAAGTATTGTAATTGTATACTGTACATAAATAGTTAAGTATACTATACATAATAGTAAGTACCATAAGTAGATGTTTTGTTTCTGTATATTTATTAGGATAAGTGTCTTGTCGAAGTAATTTTTTGTCATGTTACGTACGATGATAGAGATATTGCTCCAACATGCCCGAAAAATCTTCTCTTCTTGCCACGTCAGCCAACGGCGCTATTAACCCGTCAAGTTCCTCCACTGTAAATAATCCTGGGAGTTCACCTCTCGACACTATTGCACTAGCCAAAACAGCCAACCCAGCTTCTCTCATATGATGCTCTTCTAGCAAAAGCAGAGTCGGATCACCATCGATTCCAGCAGCTTGAACCGCCGTTTTCACCGACGTTCTGCCACGGCCTGGAACATTCAATTTTTATGCGATTTTCAAGTAGCTACACACGATGTTCAGCAGACAGCGTATAAGTGGAGAAATTATTATTAGACGGCGGATTTTTATGCATTTATGGCATATTGAAAGATGTCAAAGTGCATAAAATGCGGATAACACAAAAGTTTTTAAAATATTTATGAAATCTCAATACCAGGACATCCTACTCAGGTTCTATATTTTTTCTTTTTGTTTTTGTAATATTCATAAAACTATTTGCAAAATAATGTATGTCTAATAACGAAACTTTACAGTTTCAGACTTCAAGTAGAATAAACATCGAACTGCGCTTATGCCTTTTTTCAGCGACGAATAATTTATCCCATAATATTCTATTTTCTATATGAATTTTATCTTCGTACATAAATTTCCCATAAACATAGAAATTACTTATACAGTACCAGGTCCCGAGTTTATTAGTCGAAGAGAAGAGTACGTGGCAGCGAGTCTCACTGCCGATTTTCTTCCAGCTCCGGGTCGTCCAATCAAAATTACACCCCTTAGACTTGTACCAAAAGCCCAACTTAAACCTGGAAAAAATATAAACCGAAAATTCTACGTTTTTCCATCGTAATATAGCAATAAAAAACGAAATCGTAACTACTCAATCACTATTCGTGATTATTATACAGAAGAATATTTCTTCTACGATATTCCTCATTAATACGTAACTTATATAGTTACAAAATTGATTTATACAAGTTGATAGAATATATATTTTATTAAGCGGAAATTCTGCATAGATATTTAGTTCTATTAAATTTACTAGTATATCAACGAAGCGAAGTTATTTTCTAAGATTTGCTAAAACTGATAAAATTTATAAACTTATTTTGTCAGACTTGATAGAAGATTTACATTTAAATACAATCAAATTTTATATAGATAAGAAATTTTATTAAATTCATTATTATTATTATAGATATTATAGTGTAACAAAAATATGTCTAGTTTAATTTATCACGTGTGAGATACAAACAGAAAGAGAGAGAAAGATGAGAAACAATATTCCTCCTAATTTATCAAGATCATAAGATCATTATGAATAAATTAGTAATTTATCGATAATCATAAACCGATTACGATTAAAAGGTGTGGTTAACAACGATCTCTCTAGCGTTATCTCGTTAAACTTACAAAGTGTACAGGTATGAAGCAAATGATCGGTGGAATAAGCTCGTTTGGAAATAGCGTAATATTAAGTTAATTTAATGTGCTTACCGGCTACCGTGTGCAACAGGTGAGACGAAATCGATGCCTGTACCGGATCGCCTTCCCTCGCGCATCTCGCTGCTGCGTTAATTATCTCCTTTCGCCATTGTTCCTCATCCAACGGCAGCAAACCATTGTTTCCGTGTTTCCATATGTACACGTCGCTTCCGGCCGCCACCGACTTCGAGCTCTTCGAGTGGATCACAGATTCCAAACGAGCCTGATCTCTGGATGTTAATCTGGCACGATCGAGAAGACAAAGATATAAAATATAGACAATCAAAACACTTGTCGTGCTTAGAAATCTTACTCTATTGGTGACAGAGAAATTGTCAACTTGCAAAGTAAGCTTCTTCGTAAGCTTCGAACTTACGGACATTTAAGTTAAAAATTTGCGGTAGGAAAAAGTGCTGTTTCAAAGGTATAAAATCGTGAACGTAAAAGTACGTATTCGAGCTTGGAAATTTAAGGCGGAATATCCATTTTGTTGGAACTTCAGCTGCGAAAGTGCTCTTGCCTAGGATAAAATAGGCGTTTTCCAACATCCAACAAATGACGCGTGATATTCGACTCGCCCTTCGGAGAGGGATAGTACTTCAAGCTGTCCGCCCATAAAATCAAATCTTTGGGAGTCCAATCGGTCGTCGAGCCGTGAGAAGATTTGATCGATCGAAAAGCATCCAGCATGACGGGTACCGTTTCAGCGATCCAAGATTCGATCATAACTTGATCTCCTTTCAAAGAGTCTCTCAGGTGCAACTCCAAGATGGCAACGATATCTCTCGGGCTTGGATATCTGTCTCACAAAACGAACAAATTCTTGTGGCTGAAGTTGTTATATGCATCGAATATAAATATAAAGATATAGAAAATTAATTGTCGAAATTCAGATAGGCTGCAATGTTACGAAATTGGTTGGAATATATTTTTTGGAACAATGAATTTTTCTAGTTGAGATGTTTCGTGAAAGAAGAATGTCCTTAAGATAAAATGATGAATTCGAGAAATTACGAAGGTTTTAGGTCTGGCTTTTTAAATACTTGAAAAACTTAGAAAATTGATTAAATTATTTCGGTACGAATACTCACGGCAGATAATGAGTGGACAAAAGAGCTTCTAGTCTTGGGTGCAATCTTGTGGTTGCATCGGCTGTGCATAGGATCGTTAGTGGAACTCTTGCAAATTCCAGATCTTCTTCGTGAAATCCTCCTTCTTGAATTAATTCCCGAACTAATTCCTGAATAAATTACACTCTTATACTCTATATTACATTCGAACGTTTTGTAAAAACGAACGGATGAAATAAAAAAATACGAACAGATTACGCTACCTGTAAATCTTTCGACGCGAGATGCAAATCTTCTAAAATCAAAACAACTCTGGATCCACTTCTAGGTTTGTACGTTCTTCCGTGTGAAGACGAATTTAATTGAACGCAACTTCGTTTTAGTTTCATCACCAGATCCTGAGGTCCATAGAGAGAGGAACCTTTTATCAAAGTCGATTGTTCGATGTTTCGTATGGAAGAAAGTACGACAGATATCAGGGCACTCTTTCCACAACCTACTGGACCTCTTATCATCACAGGTTGGTTATTTTTGATCAATGGTAAAACAAACGATAAGGCTTCCTTCATTCCACCTGAATTATACATAAGCGACAATCCGTAACTAATAAATTTATTAGCGAATTATAGATTAAACTATAAGTAAGACTATTTTCAAAAACCATTATTTTATCTTATTCGTATTATCTGTTGTAATATATTATATTTATTATATCACTTAGAGCAATAACATAAATTTTTTAATTCAGTAGATTTGTTCAGCAGCTTTATTTCAAGTTTGTTTAATCGAAGTACCTGACAGTGAGACAGGACCATCGTCAGTGTCCGTAGATTCGTGAGAATCCCCGATAACTTCCAATCTATCTGTGTCTTGATTATATAATACAGAACATGGTTTCTGCGGATCTGGACACCTAAAATTCCAGATAGTACAAAAGTAGCATATCAATTTTGAACTGTGTTTTTCACGAAGAAAGAAGATAGCGAATCAAAGTCAAGTTTGGAAGATTACTTTATCCTTATACACAATATTATCTCAGTTTTCGAATAGTTCTATTCTCAATCAAATTAAGCGGTACTTATATTTATTAATCAAGGTAAATATTAAGCAAGAGATATTCTGTAAAAATGTCTGGCCTCAAAATACTGTAAGAAATCTGCAATTAATTCTTCCTTCATTTTCGTTTTTTCTCTGTTTATAAAATGTCGAGCAAATGTAAAATACAATCTTTGTTACGGTCATCAAAGGAATACACTGCCATAACAACTGAAGAAAATTAAATCTACTTTTTAATTCTTTCTTTTTTTTTTGTTAATTTTTAGACGTGTAGGATATCGTATCAAAATTCAAGCTTCTGATGAAATTTTCTTCCAAAAGAGGAGAGTTTGGGCCATTTTGTAACATGTTTCTTTGCATTAAAATATCGTCTGAAGAAACCTAAACGCTTCATCTTATAATCGTCTATGAATCACTAAACTTCGTCTGTTGTTAAATGCCTCAAATTGCCGTATAATTCTAGCAATAAAATTAGAAGTCTTCCTACCAGCAGTCAGTAAGTTGATAAATCAACCGCGCCAATTCGTCTTTAGTGCTTTCATTTCCTATTTGACTGCATAAAGATGCGAGTAGAGCGTAAGAAGCGGAAGTACGAGTATGACAGCTCTTCAAATGGCAAAACGTCGTGTCCATTAAGCCCGATGCCGAGGAAACGTCCGCATTGATCTTCAAACACTCGTCGACGCAGGGACAAAGATGGGAAATCGCGAGTTCCTTCGCGGCCTCCGGAAGTGCATTCAGTCGCGACGACATCAGCAAAGAGCTGACACTCGTCGAGCCCAAGTGGACTACGCCTAATCGCGACACAGTCGCAGGACTCGCGCCGGCAAGTTTGTGAGTTTCGAAAATGAATCTGTTTCAGAAAATTGTGTGGATGAATATTTGAAAATTATTGCTAATTTTTTAATTAATTACTTAATATTCAACGTGTATGTTACGATTTAAGGATAATACGCGTATGTATAGTTTTAATAAAAAGTTCTACGTCGCTAGATTTGATCTCGTTCCTGTATAGAATGTTAGAAAATATCGTAATTTGATAAATGATAATTATTTATATATTTTATAATCAATATTAAATTCGAAATATGTAACAACTTTGGAAAGTTTGACAGCCTGTGTTCCGTAAAGAACAATTTTAGATTTGTACGAGAATTTTTCAAATGAGCGAGTACGCGAGATATTAAATTGCTTAACTCGATTAACAAAATCGTTGTGTCATAGAATATTTGTAGTGTATAGAGACGAAATTCGAAATCTCTAGAACACGAGTCATCAGATAATTTCGGAGGATAGAAATTTACTTTGTGCCAGAACCAAGCTTCAAACCCACGCCATTGGGCAAAGTCAGTAATCGATTGTCGTCTAAGGCAGAATTTAGAGCTTCTGCCCAATCTGGTTCTACGTCGCCGTTCAAAATAATCCAAGTTACGGAATCTCCAGCGGATACAACAACGTTGGATAACAAACCTTCCCTCCATTCCCTGAAATAATAACGAATTAAAGAGATAGCTGTTTTTGTCGAGATTAATCTGTAAAAGAACGATATGATAAATTACACATGTCATTTCGCATTAACTATACCTACAAATCGAAATATTTTCCTCATAGTTTTCTAATTAAATCTATCGAAAGAATTTGGCATCGTAAATCCTACAAAATTTTATCCGAGAATGTATAATTTTTATAATAAGTTATAATTTTATTTCTTTTGCATTGAAGTATATTAATACAAATTACTACAAAAATATATAAATAAAATTACCGTATATTTATGTAAGAAATCAGTAATTATGTATGTATATAACAAATTTGAAAGAGTTAAATTTTCAAATTAGATTAGGTACTATCGTAATCTGGATTTTGTATTTTCTAATCGTTCAAGACGGTACCTGGTTTGTGGGTCGACGCGACCCAAAAGTCTCGATTTCGGCATCGCGCCAGGAAATACGTGAAACTGAACGATAGTTTCACCGATTTTCATTAGCGCATCGCATAGAAGTTTCCTGATGGTAGTTTTACCGCACCCCGGTGGTCCAACAATCGCTACACCCGTTCTGCTTTTCAGCTGGTCGTGCAATTGAATACATCTATTTGCCATTTCCTTGCTCAGTTCCTGTTCGGCGCAAAGTTCCAGCAAAGCATTCTGCAGATCTTGTCTTTCGATCAACGTGGACGACGATGGACTTACTCTTGGGAAAACATCGTCTAGTAAAGAGAGGAATCGTGGAGTGTCTTCTTCCGTTAACTTTGGTAACATCGAGGCCCTAATTGCAGCCACTAATCTGTCATATAGAACGAGAAGTTTTTGTATTTGTATATTAACATTTTTAATAATATTTTCAATTGATTATATTATTCATAAAATTACTCAAACGTGACGAGAAATCGCACAATTGATAGAAAACCAAATTTGAATCTATAGAATACAGCGTTCTTTGTGTTATGAAAAGAATTTTCAATTGGTATGAGACGAATCAAGTTTGCATACGACGAACAACTATGGACTCATTCTAACGAATTGAATTGATCGTTTCTTGAAGTTTTCAATTTAAACAAGCTTCGATGTAAGTTTAGAGATAGCCATTATTAGTAGAATATAAAGTTCAACCTCGACATCAGTATGAGGTAAATGATACCAAATTTGATTACTTTGAAATTTTATTAAATTTGAAATTCTTAGAATAAGTCCAATAACGTAGGTAGTCTAAGGTTTTTGCACTATGTAGGAAGATCTTTAATTCGCGTTAAGTATTTGTATACCGTTTTTTAATTGTAAAAGGATTAAAAATCATTTTTAAATATTAATTCGCATGTAATTTTATCAACACTTTGAAGTGTCCTCATTACACAAATTAAACAACAACAAATTAAAGAATAAATATGATAAATGAGACTTCGAACCTGCTGGTCTCATCCAAGTCAGTTTTCGTAGGAATAGCGTCGAGTACGGATCTAAGTGCCCTAAGACCCCAATCATAATGTGGCTGATTGGAAAGCAGTATCTCCGCGATATCAAGCATTTCCACGAGTTGCTTGGCGAGTGTCGAGGCTTCCAAGAATCCGGCACATTCTAGCAATGCTTTCACAATGTCAGACCTGTCCGGGTGTGCCATTCCGATCGGTCTGAACAGTCGCGCCAGAGAATCCGGAAGCTTACGACGTCCGCCGTATTCGGAGCCAGCCGGATTCATCGTGATGAACACGCAACAGTGTCGATCCAGATTCACTTTCTGATCGCCTAACAGTACTTGAGACGAACCGTCACGAACTGCTTCCTGAAGGGGTCTAACGAGCATAGCTACAGCGCTTAGTGTTTCCTCCTCGAGGCGATTGAACTCGTCGAAACAACCCCATGCGCCGGCTTGAGCCAAACCCCCTAGAATACGTCGCATACTTCCGGCGTCCATTCCTGATGGTGGAATATACAAATGAGCGAAGCAGTAATAAATTGTGCGAAGCTAGCTTTTACGTTGAATCGTAAACGAAACGTTAAATGTATGCGAGAAAGTTGTATAAATTCTTTATAAATGTTTCATAAATATTTTACGAATATTTTGTGACGTCTTTAGACATAATTTCTGAACTTCTCGCAAGTATCCTCTAAATATTTTATATATAATAAAGAAATTTTGAGAATAGCGAAGGTTGTTAAAAGTCTTACTCAACTGTCTAATAAATACGTGGAAATTAATTTTGTAACGCTGGATAGAATTACAGAAGTGGTTACTCAACGTATTGTGGTCATATAGGCAGGTGTTGAACCGCGAAAAGGAATTGCTAGCTCGTAAACGTCGAAATATTATTACCTTCGTCGCAATTGAAAACTAAAACAAGCCTTCCAAGAATAGAGCCGAGTGCTTTCACGCTTTCAGTTTTTCCGGTTCCAGCTGGACCGGTGGGGCTGCCGCCCAGACCGAGTTTCATCGCCTGAGTAAGAGCCAAGAAACACCTTTCGGTTAATGGCGTTTGAACTAATCCTACCGCTGCGCCTTGATATTCGAAACGGTATGGAAATTCTGCACCGGCACACCGTACAACTGCTCCCTTGTTCTACAATTAATATATTACAGCTGAAACTTGTATTTCATCGAGATCCAATCTCCTTAGCCAATATTAGTTCTCACAGAAGCACATTTCTTCATTAATTTTCTTGAATTAATTCGAGAATTAATTGAAAGCTGTTAGCTGAAAATAATTGTCATTGCGAAAAGTATGGAAGTTCCTTTTTTTTCTTTTTTTAAAGACAATCGTCTATTTTGTGGCTATTTAAAGTTAATATCGAAAATATATCGGGAGCATGAACGTGACATTGCATTTGCTTTTTCAAAATCACGTAGGTTTACAATTATGATAATAATAACGTATGTAAGACAAAATTTTCAGAATTTCAGTCGATCATATTTCTGAACTTCCACAAGTATAGTTCTTTTATTTTCACAATCAACGAACTTGTAATTTCATTGCCTCGAGACACGTTTTCGTAATGTTAAGAAATATACAGAATTTTTGTCAACGTAAAACGTCATTTTCTTAGTATTTGAAGTTAATTCAAGGAAAAGCAAGGTAGAAATGAAATAAAGTAAAAATAAAATTAACTGAATGGATGAGAATCTTACGGTCCTATAACTTCTTAGTTGTCTCTGCCAGGTCCAAACGGTGCTTTCTTCCCGTTGTGTGACGTTTAACAGATTTCTAGCTATCTCCAGATGGTGAACGGTATCAAGCAGAAGCCCACGTGCTTTTAATGCTGTTAATTTATCACCAGCATCTTCTAAGCCTCTGTATCTCGCTCTTTGTGTCTCCAGATATTCGACAAGGTTCTTTAAAGCTGAACCACCTTCCTTCAAGGCGCTTTCGCATCGTTCCGTGAAACGAATTTTTTCTGATAGCAGTAACACCTTAATACGTATGAAAGATAATTATTAATAATATCAAAAACATGTCTGAGAGCTTTGGATTTTTCCCAATAATCTTTATTCTTTCATACATCTTTTCTTCGATCGTTTATCACTTTTCTATTCAGTGTTATATGTAAATTATGTTATATGTAAATTTTCTACTAATAAGAAGCTTCAAGTTAAATTAAAAGATCGCTCGATAACAGACCCAATTTATTATTCAATTTTGCTGAAATTAATATAGACTTATTATTTAGTATTTAGTTCAATTGTTTGTCCAATTGATTATTATTTTTTTTGTTACGAAACTAATAAAATAATTAGTAATTATATAATATCTTTATATTAGGTTTTGTTTAAAGAAAGATTTGCTAGTTTACGCAAAAAGATTCAAGCATCTATAACAATATTTTTATAATTTATTTAGCGTTATTTTTTACTGTACATAGATGAATAAAAAATTAATTGATTTTACTTGAGTTGGATAGGATGATGGATCAGGCGTAGCATCTACCAAACATTTTTCCAAACTTTGTCGGAGTGCATTTCTCATTCCATCCTCGAGGTTACTCAACCAGCGTGGTAATGGGTCCCGAAGATCGACAGGCTTAGGTAACTGCAATATTTCACCTTCTGGCGATACAACAGCCGTCAGTCCATTATCGTCTTTTATTATCGAACCAACCCCTTGGTATAGTTTCGATAGGTGAGCTTCCAGGCCTCGTCCACTGGCTGACACTAATTCGAGAAGGTCTTCGTCGCTTAAAAAGTATAGCCGTGGATAAGACGAGCGCTTCTCCTTTAAAAAAGGCGATATGAAGTTTCAAATATAATCATAATATACCGCATTCTAAGAAAATAATGGCTAAACAGAATTATTGTACAAAAATATAAATGTTAATAAAATATAAAGTCATAAATAAATAATAGTAAATCCCAAATAATAAAAATAGATATCTGTTATACCTCCAAATATTCGTCGAGGCTTTTCTGACACCTGTCAAGTAAATCTTTCAGATTCGTGAAAGCTGAAAGTGGAAGTCTTCTCAAAGATGACACTCTCGGATCACGAGACACTTCGCCCATAAGATACCTAAATATTTATTTCATATACCATAAAACATCTAACCTGATTAATAATTTTCAATGTAATTAAAATAAATATAAGACATAAACCATAAAGAAGCAACGCATAAAAGAAGTTTCGATTAAAAATATTTGGTAGAATCTTTTGTGTCAAATTTACCAATGTAGTTTAGTCGTTAAATATTGATTACCTAAATTCTTTATTAGCCCTGGACCATCTACCGGTGTCATTTGGGGCTGCACCGCCTTCGTAGACTGGTTCTAAGTAAACCCACTTCCTCTGTATGGTACTTAAGACCTTTATTCGTTCTTCCACTTCGGACAATCCAGCTTCGCATCTTGCAACTCTGGCTGCGAACCTTTCGTAACCTGACGCGCCCTTTGCACCCTCCAACAGCAGCCTTAATTCACCTTTTAACCATCGGATAAATTTCATTATTATTCAGAAGAAAGTTCGATGCTTTGATTAATCGTTTTCGTTAATCAGCCATTCACCTGCTCGAGCTAACAAACTGCCGTATTCTTCAACAAGAACGATACCGGCGTTTCTACTGTCCTTCGATTCTTGAAGTTGCAGATGAGCGGACGCTTCCCAAGATTCCAATTCCATTAAGCCTTGTCGAATTCCGCTTTCTGCCGCAGCTCTCTTCGTTATTTCCTTTAAAAAATCAGACATTAAAATATATAATAGACGCGGCAAAGCTTCTTAACAATCGAATCTTTCCATTTTCTAATCCCCTGACTGCCACTCGAAAGCAAAGTGTTTTCTGTCTATAGTCTTATGACACAGCTATAGTTGTCACAAATACAGAGCATGATACATTAAATGAAACTATAGAATCAACGTAGAATCCCCTTTATATCATTTATAGTACAAAAAGAATACTAATATTCAAGGAACCGTCAGTCTGTTTTAATTTTGATAGCACAAACAATGTTATGTGATATGATAAAACATAATTATTACTTTTTAGAATGATAATTTGATAAATCATATATAATGTAATAAGCAACGCTTCTTAGTCTTAATAAATCTTTAGTTTTAATAAATTAAATTTATAAATAAACTTTTATGAAAACGCCTATCGGCATTATCAGCAGTCGAAGAATTGAAATTATAAAATAGACATCTGACTTGTCACCTTTATTTTATCAACATTGTCCCTAATGTTGTCCGCAGAACGAAACAGATGACCCAACGTGATATCCCTCACGCTTTTGACATTTTTTAACTCCAAGAGTGACATCAACTCTCCCCAATGTTCCTCTGCAATCTCGTCACCACGAAGAAGCTGTAACCATTCGATGGTCCCTCTCACCTCGCGAACCTTCTTCCCAACAAACGTGTCCATTTCTAAACTATCTTTCTGGTCCATCGATTGTTCTTTTAGTCGATCCTTTAACTGAACTTTTATTCTACTTTCCCAGGAATCGAGCCAGTCATGAAGTCTAGGTAGTCTTCTTCTAGCCACGGTCCACTCTTCATCCTCCTGATTCTTTAATTCTTCCAGAAACTCAGCTTGGAATCGACAATTAGATTCCTCTACCTCCATCTGTAGTTCCAATGTTCTCATATTTTCTTCGTTGTCCTCTAGGACGTCATCGACATTCAGTTCGATCTTTCGACAATCGTTTGTCAAAATTTCTAATTGCTCCTTCAGGTATGTCCATCTTTCTTTCATGGAGATAATCCAGTCTAAGGTGAGGATTTCCGGTTTCGAGGACCATTTCGCTTGCCACCTTTCGATCTCGTCTCGCAGAGCTATCGCTCTGTGACGAAGATTCACCCTTGCATCCTCGAGTTCACGATCTATTACAGCCTTGTGACGCTCCAAGCGGTCGGCTAGGTCTTGCCAAGCTGTGTACGCTGCGCTGACGCCTGTTTTGATGAATTTTTCAAGTTTATTTTTTTTTTTTAGGTTAATTAAATTTTTTGAAAAGTTTGAGAATTAAAAAATTATAAAATTGAATAATTTCAGTTATTAATGACGGTGTTGGTGTTATTCATAAATATATGTGAGCTCGAATTATTATAAAAGACACTGCGATTACGTGGATGTAAGCTGAAGTTTGCAAACTACATTGAACAAGTTATATTACAGCTTGTTATAATTCAAAACATGTTCGACAACTGATTGACATTTTTATGCATAATATATGTAGGATATATAGGAAAGTAATTTTCTGTTGACTTCGTCCTTTTTTATTTTAAGTCCGCGGGCAATTTAAATTTTTTAATAGAAACATCTAGCAAAGTCCTCTCTTACACGCGAGGGCATCAGGTATTTGCATAAAGAATCCTTTCTTATGCTTCCCTCTCTGAGAACAAAATTACTTGTTCCTATTTTATTTTCGCTTCCTGTCTACCTGAATATTGAATCCTACTACGTTACGTATGTATGATCAATAGAAATACAAATGCGATTTGATATGTGAAAGAGGATAAGCTCTTACGTTTTCAAAATTATTTCTTACGGGCAATCGAATTGACGCTATGAATACGTATGGAAACATCATGGAACAAGGAAATATTCTTTGACTTACTTTCATATATTGCTTTCATATAGCAACAATATTACCTTTCACATAATACTTACGTAATTTTAAAAATTATTTAGAATCTTCTATAATTCTTATTTAAAATAATACATTGCTTAAGGCAACTGACGAATCGTTTCGACTTTTATACGCTCTCCGTCTACCTGTACATTTCCTTAATTATCATTTTACAATGAATATTCATTACACGATGACATATTAAACTTCTAAGAATTCTTCGTTTCTATTTGCTCGATTAGTGCAACAAAATCGTTCACAGCGGCAATACTCGAACTATTTCCAGCAGTATACGTATACTTAAATTAAACTTCGCTGGATAAGTTAATAATGATATAACAATTCTGTTAGTCATAGGACTTTTTCCCTTACATTAATTTTGTTTCACAATTAAATTTATCCTATTTATCATATTTTATTATTTTGACAGTACGCCATGCAATCATATTGTCATTTACCTGGTAGCACCGAAGAGATTTAGCTTAGTGTCATCGATAATTTATTCTATGAGAACCATAGTTAATTAATTAGTGCAATAAGTACCGTAATTACCTTCGAGCTTCTCGCTAGTCCAAGCAGCCAGCACTTTAGAGAGGCCAGCAATGGCTTCCACCTCTTCAGCCATACCGGAAGATTGCGCCTGGATTCGTGCATGAGCTTCGTAGGCCGATCCAACTTCCTCCACGTTTCGGGGTCTACGTTCGAGTTCCTTCGAGGCGGATGAAAGAAACTCCACGATGGCAACTAGTCTGGAAGAGGCTTCCACCCTTAAATCGGAACACAAACGTTCCCAATAACGACGAGAAGCTGATTCTAAGTCGTTTCTGGTTGTTGCCGTATCCACGCTGATGCACCAGATCTTCACTTCGCTTCCGCGTAACCTTCCGACCTAATTTAATTATTAAACTGTAGCTAAGTAGTTTAATAAGAAACAATAGCGTAATAAATTTCTGGTAATATTATCTACTAACCTCTTGAGCCCATTGCTTAGCGTCTTTAAACGCTCTTGTCCATTCTTGCGGTGATCTTCCTTTCAGCCTTTTCATTAAAACTTTGACTATTAAGTAGTTGTAAATACGAAAGTTTATTAAGTATAGAAAGATATGAAACATTAAATTCTGTTAACGTTTAGAACGCTAGCTTCCTACGTAGCGTGTAGTATGAAAGTAATTTTAAATAAATCGCAACTAATAATATTCTTATTACGTAGTATAGGGTCTTGGATAAAGTAATTTACTAATGCATTAGTATCGAGGCCATCCTGTAAGTAATTAGATCGTCTGAACAGAATGAAATGAAAAAGAAAACTCGAAAAAGATTACTACTGTGCTTTGTATATCATCAAAGGAGCCTTCTTCCACGAAAGCAGCGCATTAACTTGTTCTTAATTTTGCAAGAAGTACGTACCTTTCAGCAGCATCGATCGTCGCTGGCGCAGCCAGGTACAGCCATTTCGTTCGCAGCGTTTCCAGAGCGGAAAGAGCGATTTCAGCCTGCTTATAAACGCCACCGTACAAATAACAGCTCCTTTGTATCAAAGCACCGAAATGCGCTTCGGCCGCGTCGCCAACGCCTCTGAAATTCATGGGGATCGATAGGGATCGACGGATCGACGAGTACAACTTGGCACGGACCTCCTCGAGG